ATCTTTTTTGGTGCTTTTACTAATTTCTAGAGCATGCGTGGTCTGTGAGTAGCTCCACAGAAATTCACAATTATGGGGGGCTGACTTTCATATTAACTCTACAAATGGCTTCATTTAGAGCAGCGGTTCTCAACCTGTGGGTCGCAACCCCTTTGGGGGTTGAACGACCCTTTCACTGAGGTCACCTAAGACCATCGGAAAACTCATATATAATTACATATTGTTTTTGTGATTATTCACTATGCTTTAATTATGTTCAATTTGTAACAATGAAATTGGGGGTCACCACAACATGAGGAACTGTATTAAAGGGTCGCGGCATTAGGAAGGTTGAGAACCACTGAATTTTAGAGGCACAGTGGGCTCATCTGGCTCTCACAGGGAATGAGGCAGGACTGGATTCCCTCCGCACAGCCCATTTACTCTGAGACACGTGTTGCAGCATGCATTAAGTTCCATTTCTGTGAGTTGGTCTGGAGGTGTAGAACCACACACAGCTGGATGACATTGCACCCTCCAAATAGGAGAAGAAAAATAATGCAGGCCAAAGGATGGGCACAGCAAAAGGTAAATCTTCCAATCGGTGACATCCATGTCGTGCTGTGAGGATCCCCACGCTTTCCCCGGGGAAAAGAAGAAAAGGTGTGACTTGGAAGTGGAGAACACTTTTTTATTTATAAACTAGAGGCCCGATGCATGAAATTTGTGTGAGAGGCTCGGACCCCGCTGCTGTGGTGGCTACCTCTGCTTTGGCCGTCGCAGCCCTGGCTTCGTCCAGAAGGACGTCTGATCTAATTAGTATATTATGCTTTTATTATTATATATAACTTCACACATGTCGTTTGATATTCTATACAATGGCACAGGTAGCATTATAATCCTTATTCTAAGGACAAGGAAATGGCCCAGCCAATGTAGCTCAGTGGTTGAGCATCAACCTATGAACCAGGAGGTCACGGTTGGATTCCCAGTCAGAGCACATCCCGAGTTAGAGGCTCGATCCCCAGTAGGAGGGTGTGCAGGAGACAGCTGATCCGATGATTCTCTCTCATCATTGATGTTTCTATTTCTCTCTCCCTCTCCCTTCCTCTTTGAAATCAATAAAAATACATTTTAAAAAAATAATAAAGACGAGGAAATGGAAACACAACAGGATTATGTAAGTCGCCCAAAGTCACAAGTTGGCCGACTACAGGTCACTCATTTGTCTTAGTCCATTTGGGCAGCTATAACAAGATCCCACAGATCGGTAGCTTATAAACAATAGAAATTTTCCATAGTACTGAAGGCTGAGAAATCGAAGATTAAGGCGCCAGTGTGGCTGCTTTCTGGCGAAGGCTCTGTCTTTGGGGCATGGCTGGCACCTCCTTACTGTTTCCTCAAGTGGTGGAAGAGACGAGCTAGCTTCCCCAGCCCTTTCATGAGGGCATTCATCTCATTGCTGAGGGCTCCACTCATAACCGGAGCACTTCCCAAAGGCCCCAACTTCTAATCCCATCCCATTAGACATTAGGATTTCAACACATGAATTTGAGGGGTGACACAAACATTCATACCATAGCATTTTTCTAACTCCAAATCCCAGGTTCCTTCCAATATGAGAATATTTCTGCATATTCATAACTGGCTTGAGGGTTAGCAGCATCCTTAAAAGGAGAGACAGGGAGACACCCAAGGAAAACTCATTTTTTTTCTAGAGTCAATTTTAATAATATGATTCAAATAAACCCCTCTCATCTTGTTCTGCTCAAAGGCATTCTGTGAGTGTAACATTATTAATTTATTGTCAGTCACTAACCACAGGAGCTTCGCTTTTTCAGATGGTCACCATTGCCTGCTTGCTTGAGTTTAGCCACAGACATCTGACAGCTGCCAAGGCCAACAGTTTTGTGGGCCCAGGGGCTGAGCTAAACATCCTTTAGCCCTCTCGGTTGAATTCCCTTGGACTTGAACGTTCTTAACTTGATTCCATTGCAGCAATCATTTTCACAGAAGACTTCCTGCACACAATTGAGATTTTTACATAGTACATAATGGCATTTGTTCTAAGTAAATTTTGAAGACTCTCCAATTCAAAGAATTCTCCCCATAAAATGCCCACAAACATAACCTTTTCCCTCTCCCCGAAAAGGCTAACATAGATTATTTTATTTTCAATTACAATTGACATACAATATTATATTAATTGCAGGTGTACAGCATAGCGATTAGATATTTATGTACCTTACGAAGTGATCACCCTGGTAAGTCTACTACCCATTTGACACCACACATTATTACAATATTATTGACTGTATTCCCTGTGCCATACTTTACATCCCTTTAACCGTTTTACCCCTCTCCTCAACCCCCTTCCATCTGGTGACCATCAATTTGTTCTCTGTATCTATGGATTTGTTCCTATTCTATTGTCTGTTTTTTGCTTTTTGATTCCACATATAAATGAAATCATATGGTATTTGCCTTTCTCTATCTGACTTATTTCACTTAGTATAATACCCTCTAGGTCCATCCATGTTGTTGTAAATGGCAATATCTCATTCTTTTTTATGGCTGAGTCATATTTCATTGTATATGCACCCATGTAGGGACTCCCTGCTCTGCATTCTCAAATAAATCTCAGAGGGTCTCGTTTACCTTGCTTTATTGTGGTCTAGCAAGGTCTCCACAGAAATGAATGGCAGACTTCTCTGCCCTCAGCTGAGACTCCTTTATTGAGCATTTGATTAAATGCCTTAAATATATTTTCTGAGCTCAGAGAATTGCTAAACACTCCAGGGATGTTGAGCTTCAGCAGGATATCAAGGTAAAACTCTCCCAAACATCTAAGGAAAGCAGCTATTGCTAATATCTGGGTCGAGGGGAACACCTCCTGCTCCTGTTCTCGCACACCACCTGTGCACAGATGGAGGATAAGTTTTTGGTCCTCTCACTTCTGGTCTCTCTTCCCATCCACTCCTGCTCCTCAACCCACCCTTTATTAATTCCTCCTCATGAGAGGAGTAGCTAGTCCTCAGAAATGGAGATGTTTATGGGCACATTGTACTAAGTTCCTTAAATATTAAAGTGTCCTTGAAGAGTATCTGAGAGGCTCTCTGCCTTTTCCTCCCACTTAATGGATTTGTGTAATAAGCAGATCCAGGCAAGGCCTGACTCTCCAGAACGTTATCTTTCTCCTCTTCTGTCACTCTGGGCATGCAATTGAATAGTATTGGATTCAGAGTAAAAAAGGAATCCTTCCTTTGGTTTAACTAATAAGCTTGTCCTGAGAAAGATTAATACATTGACACTTCACTGTTTATAAAATGCTACTCTACTCCTTTGGCTATTAATCCTCAAGTTTGCCATTCCCCTCCTCAGGCATCCCGCCGGGAAAAGTTCTAGATGGCAGAGTCTTATTCACTCATTGTTGGGACCCCAATGAACACCTTCAAAATACACACCACACCTCTAATCTTCAACATTATTACATTCAATTCTACTCAACTAGTACATCACTGAGCCAACTACTGATGACGAAATCTCAAAATGAAGGAAACTAAATGTATGATGGGAGTTTTGGGGGAATATTGAAAGTCAATTTGCCTAGGTCCTGAGAACAGCATTTTAATTTCAATATTTTGGTTAATAAAATTAAACCTACCATGATGAATATTCCCTCTGCCTCCCATCCCCAGTAGTGAAGCTATTCCCCATCAAACCTATCTCATAGGATGTCTTAGCTATATCTTAGCATGTGTCTCCCTGAAAGGAGTTCTGCAGACAGCGTCTTGGGTACAGGACTTTATTTGATAAGTGATTTTCCTAAGGAGCTGGAAGGAAGGGGATGGAAGTAAAACAAAGGAGAAGGGAAATTCAATAAAAGGATCCGTTATCAAGTAGGTGCTTGGTGCTTGACCTCGCAGGACCTTCTGAAGACTTCTATAAAATAGGTCTTAGAACCCTCTGCCTGAGGAAAGAAAGCAGAATGCATTTATCAATTGGCTTTCATCCCTGGTTGGGCAAGAGCATCTTCTAGGACATTACCCAAGACCACGTTGAACACTCGTGAGAGCTAGCAGGTTCTCTGGGATGATGAAGGCACCAGGAAAGCCCTGGGCAGGAAGTTAGAGGAATGTAGTGAAGGCACAAGTTGGAAACTCTGTCAGGTGGCATCTGTGCAGAGCTAGTCAAGTTCTGCATAGAACTGGTGGCCACAGATGTAAATGGAATAAAAGATGGTTCTGTGTCCAAAACAGTCCTCCTCTGGCATGACGCAGTTCCTGGTATGTCTCCCCTTAAGTCCAAAATGCTAGAGTCCCCTTCAAGCTATGAGCAGCCACAGCATCTGCCAGGACCTAACACAGTGGCTTCATGGAGCAATGCCTGTTGCAGTAGTCAGCCTGATGTAGTAACTGATACCCACCATCCATCTCCTTCATCGTGGGTTTTCAATCTCTCTCTGCTGTGGGCAGAATTTTGGCAGCTCTCAGTTGTTTTCTGGTTGCAAGACCTAGATCTTCATTCTTTAGAAACCTGAGCCAAGGTTCAGATTGATTGAGCCAAGATTGCTCAATGGGCCATTCATAACTGTCATTGAATATGAGAATAAGAAGAGACAACTCAGTGAATCCCCAATCCAGACTACTCTTTCTTCCCTGCTTTTATTACTTAGCCCCAGTCTTTCTAGTGGTGGTCAGACTCAAATTCCCCACCAGTATGGTGACTCCGGTCATTGCCTGCTGGCGCTTTGACATGAGGATCCAAGGCTGGAAAGAGACAGTGTAACTTCATTCAGTGGAACCCTCACTGTGTCCCACACTGATGGATTACCTGCACAAGAAAGAGACTTTCTTTTCTGGAAGAGCTGAAGATTGTGAGGACAAATCTGCTCCCCAGGTGAGTTGCTAAGAGTAATGGTTAGAAAGAGCCAATTCTAGGCCTTGCAGATGCCAATATCCGTGGACAATCACACACACACACACACACACACACACACACACACACACACACACACAGCCATGGTCTTCAACATCGCCTTTGACCATGAGCCCTTGGGCCGCGTCTCCTTCGAGCTGTTTGCAGACAAAGTTCCAATGACAGCAGGAAACTTTTGTGCTCTGAGAACTGAGGAGAACGGATTTGGTTATAAAGGTTCCTGCTTTCACGGAATGATTCCGGAACTTATGTGCCAGGGTGGTGACCTCACATGCCATAAAGGCACAGGCGGCAAGTCCATCGATGGGGAGAAATTTGAAGATGAAGCATGCGGGTCCTGGCATCTCGTCCATGGCAAATGCTGGACCCAACACCAGCGATTCCGCTTTTCATCTGCACTGCCAAGGCTGTGGTTGGACAACAAGCGTGTGGACCTTGGCAAGGTGAAAGAGAGCATAAACATTGTAGACCTACTCTGAACAGGCTGCTAAGGAAATTCCCATTTTTATGACAGTTAACAGAAGCCAGCTACTCCAGGAAACAGTTGACATGTAGGAAGAAGGTGGTAGCCAAAAAAATCCAGGGTCTCACCTGCTCCCATTCAAGTCCTGAAGGTATTTCCCTGTGCTCCTCAAGTTTATCAATTGTCTTAACAAACCTATCACTACCAAGTCACGGGGCCGTTACAACAAAATTAACTGCCCATTTTCAATCCTTAGAATTAAATATGTTTATTACAAAATATAGTTCTCATTAAATGATGTGGATCTAAATATTACTAGCATGGATTTTGTGCAGACAGCCTTTTCATCCGCGACACAACCTCCTTCTGCTTTCCCCCCCTGTGCCCCATCTTTTTCAGACCTTTTCCTTAACCTGTGCTTCAATCTTTCTTCCTTGCAGCCAAAGGAAAAATATGTCCAAAGCCCTTTCAGTGCTCGAATGTTGGGTTGCCAAGCATCTTTGCCGGTAGCCTGGTGGAGAGCACATGAATTTATGCCTCCTACTTATAAGGAACCTCATTCTTTCATAGCATAGAAATAAAAAATCTAGGTATCTTTTAAAAAATATTTATTTTTTAAATTGCTCAGGGTGACATTGGTCAACATGAACATATAGGTTTCAGGTGTAGGTTTCTATGTTCCAAGCTCTGTATACTGCACCATGTGCCTACCACCCAAAGTCAAATCTTCTCTTACACGGACCCAAGTGGAAAGTACAGTCTCAGAGTTAGTCATTTTGCTCTCTGGGGAGTAATATGGTGACACCTGGCCTATTCCTCAGCTTTGTCAGCTCTGTAGTGAATTACATGCAAGGATAGAGAGGAGGATCCTTGCCTACCAGTAAAACACATTTATTTAGTCTCCTTTTCCTACAAAGTATTTATAACCTGACAATCAATGGGTCCGTGCTGCCTGTCACTCTTTGAACCAATTAAGTGGAATAACTGCCGGCAGTATGGGAGAGCAGCAGGCCATCCAAAAAAATCTGCTCTGCCCCCACCATAAGCCAGCTGCTTATATTGGGTAGAAGGACAAAGATTACATGGGGAAGTAGGCAAAAGGGTATGCCAAATGGGCAGTTTACATGTAATGCAGGCTGGAGATTTGCAATGGCCTGTGGATATGCAAAGGCTGGGGGGTCTTCAAAGGGCTGGCAGCTCTGGTTTCTGCAACAAGGTTGTTAATCTTTCCATGATAATAGACAGCTCCCTGATGGGGAAGATGGGCTGCATTTCCAGGTGAGCCCCCAGGCCTTTCTTGCAACTCCCAGCCAGGTTAGAATGTGCCGCCTTTCATCAGGATAAAACAATCACGGTTAATAGAGCATGATTAATACTTCTTACGATTATAGCTGGTCCCCTATATTCTATTTCTGCCCCTATCATATTAAATGATATGATATAGCCTAAATCTTTATATACTTTATGTAACAATTATATAATTACAGCAAGTAAAGAATATCATGTTTCCTAACAGGGAGTGGAGAGAAGTTTCAGAATACGGAACACAGGTTTTCCACTCAAACCTTTTAACAACATGCTGTTTTTGAACATCTGAACTGGATTATGATTCTGCCAGATTCCTCTGTGTTTCAGCCTTCTGTCTTACATTAAAACATAAGTAGCAATTTCTACTGAGAAAATTTTGGAATAAAGGGAGGAATTTTTCATTTGCTTTATTTTCCTAATTGTGTATGTATGAAGCACCTGCCTATAACATCATTGACTCTTCAAAGTAACCGTAGGGAATAGGCATTATCACCCCGTTTTATAGCAGACGCTGAGAGGTGCTAAGAAATTTCACCAAGGTCAACGGGACTTGGATTCATATACTACCTGTTTCAATCCAGTAGCCTTGGTTTCTTCAAAGCCCCGAATGCAGTTCTCAGTGGAATTCAGTGTGTAAAATTATCACTAGGGTTTGTAATATTATGAAAACAAAATTTTTTCCTTAAGAATAAATTTAGCACATATATTATGTCTATAAAATCTGTGCCTCCAAGCCTGTTTACTAAACACTTAAAAAAGCATCTTATAGTTACTTATTTGACTTCCTACTATTTAGACTTACTCAGTTAAGACATTTTACTTCAACATAAAACGAAAAAGGTTCTTTAATGACTAATTCTGAATAGTCCACTAACATTATACAATAGGTATTATTTCTACATACATTTTTTTTAATATTGCAATCTGGGTAGACTATTGGCATCAATCCTTTTAAAGGACTTAACCTTTTTGTATTTCAAGCCAACAAACCAGAAAAGAAATAAGGATAACTAGATGGAGGAAAGGGAAGTAAGCTAAGGAAGCAACCCAGAAAGGCTTAGAAGAATGGAGTTCTTCTGCCACCTGGTGGCTTTTGTGTGTCATAGCCAGAACTACTTGAAATTATTTTAAGAAATTTTTTTTTTAAGAAATGTTTTGATATGTTTTTATTTCCAAAAGACATATTACTCAGTAAGTGGTTTCCAGATCTTGATGCTCAACACAGTCACCCAGAAAATATAATCGGGAGACCCAGCCCTTGACGTTTTGATCTTGTATTTCAGGGAAGGGCCTAGGACAGTGGTCGGCAAACTGTGGCTCGCGAGCCACATGCGGCTCTTTGGCCCCTTGAGTGTGGCCACAAAGTTTCAATCGCACTGTACGTGCACTCCCGCACGTGGTATTTTGTGGAAGAGCCACACTCAAGGGGCCTCAGTTTGGCAACCACTGACCTAGGATCATTTCCCAATAATCCCAGGTGATAATGATGCAGTTGATTATAAACTGGACGTGTTGGTCTGCAAGCTTTTCATAAACAATTGGTATCTTCTTCTTTCTGGGCTCAAGCCCAACTTTTTGTAGGGCCTCACTTTAGCTGGGTGTGGCCACGTGACTGAGCTCTGCCCAATGGAACCTGACTGCCCTTGTCTTTATTAAATGTAGGTGTCTTGCTTCCATTGTCTCCTACCTGGATACCTTGGCTAATTTTGGCATTGGTGGAGACAACCTCTTTCTTAAAACATTTTCTTTGTTGAGTTTAGTTATATTTTCTCTCTTTGTTCTGCTCCTACTAAACAAACATCATCAAAGCAAAACTCAAAAGATCTCACTTCACTCTGACTGAACTGACCTCCCTGCCTCTCCTCCAGCAGATCAGACTTGTGCACATTAGGGCCTTGGCCAATCTAGTGTTTTTGACTGGAGAGCAACCTCTTCCTCAGATCCACAGGGACCTGCCCCACCTCATTCAAGTCTGTTCAAGTATTTGTTTCTCATTGGCACTCCTATTTACAAATGCAACTTCCTCCCAGCAAACTCCTCATTCTTATCCTGTTTTACTTACTAGAGGCCCAGTGCACGAAATTTATGCACTGGGGGGGAGAGGGAGGTCCCTCAGCCTGGCCTTTGCCCTCTCACAGTCTGGGGTCCCTGCGGGGAGCAGGCCTAAGCCAGCAGTCAGACATCCCTCTCACAGTCCGGGACTCCCTCACTCCTTACAAACCGGCTGCTCACCACTCCTTAGCACTGCCATGGAGGCGGGAAAGGCTTCTGCCACCACCACTGCGCTCACCAGCCATGAGCTGGGCTTCTGGCTGAGTGGCACTCCCCCTGTGGGAGTGCACTGACTACCAGGGGGCAGCTCCTGCGTTGAGCGTCTGCCCCCTAGTGGCCAGTGCGCATCACAGCACTTTTATTATAGAGACTAGTGGCCTGGTGCATGAAATTTGTGCACGGGGGGTGGGGGGGTGTCCCTCAGCCCAGCCTGCACCCTCTCCAATCTGGGACCCATCGGGGGATGTCGAACTGCCAGTTTAGGCCCGATCCAAGACTGCTGGCTCCTAACTGCTCACCTGCCTGCCTGCCTGATCACCCCTAACTGCCCCCCTGCTAGCCTGATCGCCCCCAGCTGCCCCTCCCTGCCATCCTGCTCACCCCCAACTGCCTGCCCACTACCTGCTTGCCCCTAACTGCCCCCCCCCGCCAGCCTGATTGCCCCCAACTGCCCCCCCTGCTGGCCTGCTTGCCCCTAACCACCTCTGCCTTGTCCTCACCACCATGGCTTTGTCCAGAAGGACGTCCAGTCTCCTGGAAAGTCTCCCAGTCTAATTAGCATATTACCCTTTTATTAGTAGAAATAATAGCTATAACATTCAACATACTGCACAATTTTATTTCTTATTATTTTTATTATCTTCTTTACCCTAAAATACAAAACTTATTAGAGCAGGGATTTTTGTTTTCTCTACCGCAGTGTGCTCAGAAACAAAACCCATGCCTGTCACATTGTAGGTGCTCAAAAAAATATTTGTATAGTGATGGAATGAGTGCGTGGATGAACGCTGGCTCGTGTGACTGGTACATATACACCGGGACAATGTTCAGCCTCCCAAGTATTTAATCACACAAAGTAGAATATTTTTCTATTAATTGGTCAATGCATACACCTTTTAATTACATTGATGCAATTATTTTTAAATCAATTTACAGGTAATTATGAAGCATTGATAACCTTTGACCTAGTAATACCGGTTGTGAAATTGTGCTGCACCCAAAAATGTATTTTAAGATACAGGTTCTACATAGCCATCTGCTGTAGCATTGTTGATAATGATGAAGAACTCAAAGAAACAAAAAGCTTAATAATCAGAAAATAATAAATTAAATTATGTTAATTCTATGCAGTGGACTATTTAGTGGCCATTATAATCATAAAGACTACTACCACCTGGAAAATTGTTTATGGAAAACGCTGTATTACAATAAAAATTTAAAATCTCTAATTACACAGGTTTTATATGTAGAAAAATACCACAAGGAATGCACAAAAACTAGAAAATTGTTGCATATACGGGTAATGAGATTAAATATTTTTTTTGGTCTTCATTTTCCAAATGTTCCTATGCTGTTGCTCTGGTTTTTACAGATCTTTAGGATTGAAAAAGAAAATAAATTGTCTTACACATGTCTAAATGTTTTCCCCTCACCTGA